GTGAGATCAGCCGCTGTCACAAACCCGGCCTGCCGGACGGCGGGGAGCCTGCCTGGCGCGGGGGGAGGCCGGCTGGGAAGGAAGCCTGGCCGGTGATTGCCGCCACCGCCGCCTCAGCATCGCCCGCGCGCTCGCAGCCTGGACGGGAGCGGGGCAGGTGCCGGGCCCCGGAGGGGACGAGGGGGGAGGCTCGGTCTGGCCTAGGATTGCCGGGCGGGGGTGGCGCCCCCGGGAAACCCCCCCGGCCGAAAGAGCCTTGGCTTGCGAGGCCAGGGCTGCGTGGCTCCCTTGTCGCCCTCCCCCGGGCTCTTTGGGCCTCCTTCCGAAGGGTCGCGGGAGCGAACGGACCCCCAGCCTTTCGGGAAAGGGGCTTTTCTGAATTCAGCGAGGCCTGGGGAAAAACGGGTGCTTCCCAGAAACCCGGGAATTAACTTCTCCTCCTCTTTCTTCCTAGGGGAGACATGTCGACATGCCTATTGCCGTGTGCCGCCAGGTCTCTTTAGAGAGTTGCCTGCTTCTGGCTCTTTCCCCTCGATGAACGGTTGCCTCCGGTGGACACCATGTCCGATATCTTCATCAACCTGGACACGGTCCTTCACCCGCCTGCCAAAAAGGGCTCCGTGGGGAACAAGAAGCACCAGCGCTTCATCAAACGCCGCCAGTTCCTAGAGAGAAAAGGCTTTCTGAAGCAGAAGCAGCTGCCCTCCCAGCCTCCCCTGCCCAGACGGGACCCCTCCTACAGCTGCTGCGCAGGACCCAACCAGGGCAAGAAGAGGCAGAAAGTGGACAGGCAAGGGGGCGGCAAAGCCATACGAGAGGATGGCTCCCCCCGCCGGCTCAAAATGCCTCCCAAAGACAGCTCCAGTTCGGGCACTACGGATGCAGGATCCCAGACCTCCAGCCCCTCTGGAGCTGCCTCAGCCTCAAGGAAAACGGGGAGCAGTGCGGGGAGGCCCAACGGGACCCTCACCCACTGCAGCCGGGGGGATATCCCCCGAGTCAGCCTGCTGAACGAATTCAAGAGCGGCCTCCCCGAAGCCCCGGCAGCAGTCAAGCCCAGCAAAATGGTGGCCATTGACTGTGAGATGGTGGGCACCGGGCCTGGCGGGCGCAATAGTGACCTGGCCCGATGCAGCGTGGTCGGCTACTATGGCGATGTGATGTACGACAAGTACATCCGCCCGCTGAGCCCTATCACCAACTACCGGACTCGGTGGAGTGGCATCAGGCAGCATCACATGAAAGATGCTGTCCCCTTCAAGCTCGCCCAGAAAGAGGTGAGGGCAGCGCGCAGCCTCCTCGCCCTCTTTTTAGGGGCGTCTTCTGGTTTAGAGCATTGTGGACTTCCTGCGTGCCAGCTCCCCTGAATATCCAGAACGTCGGTGTCATTTGGGAGCACGAGGGCATCTCCTCTTGTCTTGGCTAGGAGGGTGTTCTGTTGGGAGGCTGCCGGTACGTTCTTGGCGCTTCGGGGGCTGACCAAGCTTCCTCCTCTGCTTGCCTTCCAGATTCTTAAGCTTCTCTCTGGGAAGATTGTCATTGGCCACGCCATCCACAATGACTTCAAGGCCCTCAAATATTTCCACCCCAAATCCTTGACCAGAGACACTTCAAAAATCCCTCTGCTCAATCGGAAGGCCGGCTTCCCCGAGAATGAGTCGGCCTCCCTGAAGCGACTCACGAAGGAGCTCTTGCACCGAGACATTCAGGTAACAGTGCAGGTGCCCAGGCGTGTCTGCACAGGTATTGAGCCTGGCTGCTCTTTTCCTGGGAGCTGCAAGGTGAAATGGGACCATTGTTCTCTGAAGCTGGGGGGCTGCTCTAAGGTTCGTCCTGTGGGGAGAAAGAGAGAGCGGATAGGCACCCTGTGGCCAGGGAGCAAGCTCTGGGGCAGGGCTGTGGGTGAATCTTGCCGTGAGACTTCCCTTCCCTCCCTCCCTCCAGGTTGGCCACAACGGCCACTCCTCGGTCGAAGATGCCCGGGCCACCATGGAGCTGTACAAGGTGATTGAGGTGGAGTGGGAGAGGCACTTGGCTACCTCCCCACCCCAGGATGGGCTGCCTGGCACCACGTGACTGCCCTTGGCCAAGAACAAGCTAGCCTGGACTTATGGGGCGAGAGCTGCAGATGCTCCAGAAGCACTTTGGAGTCTGGAGGGGAGGGGGCAGAGGAGGGAAAGAAGGTGTAACTGATCTGAGGGGCGGGGGGTGAGAAGAATGAGTCCATTACATTGTTTCCAGCTGAGGCCCGCATTGGTGTGTTCCTTGCAGGCTCCGTGGCTTCTTGGAGACGGACCTTACCCTTAAAACTGGGGTGGGGAGGAAGGTCTGCCTCCCGGTGCTCCAGGGGTGCTGGTGCCTCCCCAGAGTGGGGGAGATCGTAGCTGCCTCTGAGGGGAGGGAGCAGGAATGGGACCAGGACCACAGAGGGTCTGCCTTTCCTCAACCAGTAGGGCATAATCCTCCCCAATGTCACATCGTCCTCCTTGGTGCTGAAGGCTGGGGGTTTGACCGTTGCCCCATTAGAGACGGTTGCCCCAGTATCGCCAGGTGGGGGAGTCTCCCTCTTGTTGGATGGTGTCTGGAAAGTGATGCCCCAAGTCGCCCCCCGTCATCTGAAGCTTGGGGGCACCCCAGGCTGCAGGGAGGCCACTCTGGGAGTGCTCCCTTCAGGAGCAGCCCGGGAGCTGGCATCAGCGCCTGTGCGTGCAGAGAGGAAGCAGGGCGGTTCTCCTGGTCTCCCACTTCGTCTTCAGTTGCAGGACTTTGTCTTCCAAGATGCACTGGGGACTTTTATCATCACCACGCCTTCTGACCTTAGCACGTCGTGTCGTGACAGCACAGTTAGGGAGGACGTGGATCTGTTTTTATGACTTGGACTGCCAATACGTGGTGTCGGGGGGGGAGGTTGCTGGATAGTTGTAGTAGTAGAAGTAGCAGATCTGACTCATGAGCCTGCCAGTGGTGACTGTAATCGGGTTTTATCCAATAAAAAACCGCTTACCCCAAAACAAAAGCAAAACTTCACCTAACTCTATCCCTTGGGTGGGTCCTTGAAGAAAGCAGACCTGCTTGGCCTGGACTCCTCGACAGATTCTGCCTGGAAATGGAAGCTGCGCCCCCCATCTGAACACTAGGGACACCCCTCGGGTTGAGTGGGGTCTCATGAAGATTACATTCAGTTTGAGGGAGGCAGCTGTTCCTGTTGGCAACAGTCTGGGTGGAAAGGGGGGTACTGGGAAGAGGGGCTGCCCCACACCTGGCAACCCCAGGGGAGGGGTCCCTGGACTGAGCAGGGGGATCAATGAGGCTTGTCTCAGGGTTTGGCCGGCTAGGAAGGGGGGGAGGCTGCAGCCCCGGGGGCTGGAGCTGCAAGACTGACTCAACCGGGAGGAAGTTCCCAAAGCAAGTATGCCAGGATGGTGTTGGGGGGGGCGTGGTGGTGGTCAGAGCCTCCCTTTTCCACAAAGGTGTCTCGATGCGATGTGGAGAGCCTTCTGGCACAGGAGGGGGGTGGACTCCAGGGAAACTGCAGGCGAGAAAGCACATCCTGTCGGAAACGCCTGGAGGGTCCTGGCAGTCCAGAGTGGGTGGTGGGGCTTCAGCAGGAAGGAAGGCAAAAGGGTACCAGGCCCGGCTCCTCTGCGGAACCCCTGAAGGTTCCAGGGCCTGGAGAAGCCTCTGAGTGCCTGCAAGAGGGTGAAGTGGCTTGCTGGGAGCGCCAAGGGCAGGCCCAGGGGCAGCGGGAAGTTGGCTTTAAACCAATAGCCTCTTTAGAGTAATAAAAAACCCTTTGCATCCCCAAGTCACAGAATAGGTTTTTAAAGGGGGAGCCCCTTCACTTGCTGGCACCCCAGAGCCCTTCCTGCTGCTTAGCGCACTCCAAGGGCTGCCTTGCCTTTGGAGCAGCTGCGGGGGGGTGGTGGTGGCTGCTGGAGGGTCCAAAACCGGGGAGGCCGAAGAGCTCGCGGTGGATCTGCAGGCGCAGAGGAGGGAGAGAAGGAAGCAGCAAGGCTTGCTTTGGGGCCGCCGCTGGCGAGGACCTTTTTGGTCAGGAAGGGGAGGCGGGCGATGCGGCCCATCGGGGGGGGGGCTCTGCAGACAAAGCTTTGAAGCGTGAAACATTGCTGGTATGATGGATCGGCCGCGCTGTGGGTGGCCCGTCTGCTTTGCGGGTGTGCGTATCCTCTCCCTTCTGAAGCCTCTTATTGGTCAGCACAACGGGGCTCCCCCCCCCACGAAAGCCTTCATGTCAGCAGTTAGGGATGCGCTTAGAGCCAGCCCCCGCCCACGAGGTCCCCAGCAGGTCCACCCCGAAGGAGGGGGTGTCTCTGTCGGCCAGCATTAATGTTTATAACATTCAGCAGTTCATAACGTTAGAATAACACGGGGGCTGCGCCTTTGCTAGCTTTCACTCCGCTCTCTGCGTTCCAAGCATTAAGGAACGGCCCTCGGAGGTATTAATTGGGGGGGCTCTCTTCCCCTCTCACACACAAATAACTTGTCGGTTTTGACGGGTCTTCTGGCTGGCGGTTTCCAAGCCCCAAGCCTCGTCGGCCCTTGCTTCTCCGAACCAGCTTTGTAAGACTGAGGACAGGCTGTGGGGTCTTTGCAGGCA